GCGGCCACCACCAGGGCGCGCGCCGCCTGCAGGTCTCGGGGCAGCGCCAGCATGGAGTCGTACACCTTGCACTGCATGTGGCCCGTGCTCTGCGTCACGCAGCTCATCCACAGGCCCTCCCAGATGGTCTGCGCCGTGATGATGTTGGCGCCCACGAACGCCGACACCTTCCACATGGGCAGCGCGCACGCCACGATGGCGCCCGCCAGGCCCGCCGTCAGCAGCAACGCGGCCGTCAGCTGCAGGCCCGCCCGAGACATCTGGCTGGCTTCGCGTGAGGACGCCCGCCAGCCTTCCCGCTGCTACTTAAGCAGCTGGCGAGGCGGCGCCGATTGGCCGGCGGCCTTGACGCAGATGCCAAACACCTGCGGAGGCCCCGGCGCGCGCGCGCGAGCGGCCCGAGACGCGACCGGCACGCTTTTGGAGCGCCGAAGCCTTGCTGTGGACACAAACATTGTCGGGGTGCACGGCCCATTTTGGTGTGCGCGTGCGGGCAATTAAGAATTTCTTGTCACGTGACGAGACGTTTGTCCACGTGTGTGCTTTTCGTGTGCAATCGGAAGGAGCCTCCGAGGGGCGCATTTGAGTTGGACGGTCTTGGTTTTGTTTGGGAAAGCTGGGCCTCCTCATCGGTGACCTCGCGGGGGGGGGCGGCATTCTTGCGGCGCGTCCAGACCTTTCCGGGCGGCCTCTGGTCTCCGCGAGGGTTCGCGGAAATTTAGCGCGCGGCCCCGACGCGGCCCGGCGCCCAGGAAGGTGGTGGCGCGCTTCCCGCTCAGAGCCGCCCGCCCCCGTTCACCAAAACCAAGTCAACCAAAGTGCTGGGCGTAAAAGTTCCTCCCTTCCCACGGCGCGTCGGCAACTGCGGCCTCTCGCCCGAGATGGAGCCCCTCCCCGGGTTAGGGCGGGTTGCCGGTTTCCCCGCGGCCGGTGGTTCGGGCACGTCTTTGCTTTCTGGGGCGCAACGGGCTCAGCGCTTGAGCGCGTCATCCCGCGGGGGGTTCTGGGCCGCTCCAAATGCATCCGCCGCCCGCGCGCCCGCCTTTGCCCTCGCGGGTCTCGGCTGGTTTCGCGGCCGGGGGCGAATGGCCTCTTTTCGTCGTGACCTTCAAAATATTCAACATCAATCAACGCTTGCTAGCCGGCTTCAGAAAGGGGCAGCCGTAGGTCACCTCACCCACCCGCACGCACCCAAATAAAAGCCCCAAACGCACTTTGGATTTCGCTTGAATCGCGGTGATGCTTTTTTTCAGGCCTCAACCATCCAGAAGCTTGCAAATCCAAAAAGTGGCGCTGTCCTCCAATTGCGGTTTTGTTTTTGTCTTCCGCCGCGCCTTTTTGCAGCCCCGCGCAACGAAAAGAGAGCGAGCGGCGACAGTTGCGCGCGGGCGGTCGATCCGGTTTGGGTGCGGCTCGCCAGCTGGATGCGAAAGGCTCTTTGTTCCTTTGTGAGTCAGCGGGCGCAAGTCTTTAAAACGCGCACAAGAAGGCTTTTTATTGTCGCTTGACAAATGGGAAAACAATCAAACGGGACCAAAGCGAACACCTTTCGAGAAAAACCTTCCTCCCCTTTTATCGTTTCCAGTTAAAGCGGCGAAACTCGGGCGGCCGTCCACCGTTTGGCGAGGGCTCTCCGATTTGTTTGCGTGGAAGATAAGATAAGGAACCTTTCTTTGTCTCACAATGGAGACGTTCGCAATTGACAGCGGCAACGTTTGGAGGGAAGAAAGTCGAAAAACATTTGCATGCCCAAAATACATGAAAAAAAATCAACTGCACACAGTACAGAATGCAATCGACGACATCAAATCGAAGCGTCTACGCAACTGCATGTCTGCATATTTGCATGCGAGACGCAGAAGTGTGCCGGTCTTGGTGAATGGCGTTGACCCGAGGGCTTGCGCCCGCCCGCCCGTTGCCTCCCTCCCTGCCTGTCTGCGTGCGATCGAGCGAGCGTGGAGAAAAGCGAGCGAGGCCAGTTGTGCTTTGTGGATCAAATATTTATTTACAGCGACTCCAAAAGGACACAAAAGAGGAGCTTGCATTTGTCAAAGTAAAAACGGGCTTTGGGAGCCAAACGAGCTTCCTGAGGGAGGGAGGGAGGGAGGAGGGGAGGGGCGAGTCCCCGTCAGCTTGTTGACGACGCCTCGGGCCCCCCGCGGCGTCGTCTCGGACGAGACGGCGGCCGCTAAAGCGCCAGAACGCTCCAATTTCACCTCGTCAGTCCAAAAGGTTTCGATGCGAGTGCCACTCGGTTGAGGCGGAACAGTTCAAGGCTCTCGGAAGGGGAACGTGTCGTTTGGTGGCCGTTCCGGACATCGGTTCTGGCGCGAAAAGGAGGCGGCGGCGGCGTTCGGACGTTTAGACGTAGTCCTTGCCGGACGCGGGCGCCGAGGCCTCGGAGCGCGCCACCTTGTAGCGCGCCGCGTAGGCGCCGTCGTCCTTGCGGGGGCAGTTGCAGCACAGCATGGCGCCGCCCACGATCATGAGGGCGGCCGCCCCCCAGCCGATGTAGAGGGCGGCGCCCAGCTCCCGCTTCTGGGCGCTGGACACCAGCGGGTTGTAGAAGTCGCGCACCACGCCGTGCGCCGTCCAGCACACGGGGATGAGCAGCAGCACGCCGGCGGCGATGAAGGCCGCCCCGCCGGCCACGCCCACCTTGGCCTTGGACCTCGGGTCCTCCACGCAGTTGGTGCACTTGCCGCCGGCCGCCGCCAGCAGGACGGCCAGGACGCCCGCGGCGACGGCCACCACGGTGAGGGCGCGCGCCGCCTGCAGGTCCGAGCTGAGCGCCAGCATGGAGTCGTAGACCTTGCACTGCATCTGGCCCGTGCTCTGCGTCACGCAGCTCATCCAGATGCCCTCCCACACCGTCTGCGCCGTCACGATGTTGCTGCCGATGAAGGCCGTCACGCGCCACATGGGCAGCGCGCACACCACGATGGCGCCGATCCAGCCCATCAGGCCCAGGGCGGCGCCCAGGATTTGGAAGCCCGCGGACACCATGGCGCCGGTCTGCTCCTCTTCTTCGTCGTCGTCGTCGTCGGTCGTTTGATTGCGGCTGGCTCGCAGGCTCCTCAGGCGCGACCGGCCGGGCGACTTTTCCGTGTGGGGCGGGACGGGCCGCGGAGCGGCTACATATCTCTGGGCCGGAGGGGGCGGAGCCGGGCGGGGAAACGCCTCGCCGCCGTCGCTGCCCCAAACCTGTTCCTCCAACGACACTCACGGCGAGGCCTTTGAGCGACAACAAGCTGACAGTTCGTCGAGCCCAACCCCCAAATCCGCCCGGCCCGGGTTTCTGCCGAAGGCGACCGTCCCCGGTGACTCACTTGCCATATAAGGCCACTTCCCACAAGGCGCGACCGCGCTCGCACACCAAGATACACACGCGAGTCACACGCTTGGTGAACAACACCGACTCGTTGGGATCACCCGTCGGCCTCGTGCGAGCGTCGAGCAAAGTCAAAAGCAAGCGGCCATCGCGAGCGTCCACGACACGCAACATTCCATAAGAACGCAAGCGTCGTCATGACGCAACGCTGACGATTAGGAAGGAACGCATCTGAAGTCGGAGGCGTCCCGAATGTTTTGATCACTTGAGCTCACGTCATCATCTGGATGGCCAATCAAAAGTGACACTCAAACGAGATCGTTGGCCGATTGGAGAAGGGCGCCGCGTGTATTCCAACGCTGCGGCGAGGACACCCACGTTCCGCTCCCCCAAGGGCCGAGCTGCCGGCCGCGATGCGTCGGGGGAAGCCGGCTTTGTCCCAAAAGGGCTCTGGAAGCGGGCTGCGGGCTTCCGAGGCAAGCGCGCCCTTGCCTTTTTGTCGCCACGAGACTCGAGCGGCGGCCACTTCCACCGGTGGCACAGTCATTCCAATTGGGGATGATGTGGGGCGTTCTCAGCGGCCGACCGAGCGTGAAATTGATCTCGGTGGCACGACGCGGACAACGGGCAGGCGAGATTCCGACATCAGCTGGCGAGATAAGCCGTTGACAACCTCTGTCCGCTTGGGTTCGTAAGCCGAGCGGCCCCCGGGGACCGACGACGCGTACCACGCCGGCGCAACTTTGCGAGAGCGACGAGCCCTCGACGAGGTGGCCGACGCCAGGCAGGCGCTCGATGCCGGCTTGGAAACAAAAAAGGCTTTGTCCATTGAAGACAACAGCAGCAGTTGTAGACGATGCAAATGTTCTGAAGAATGAGACAGGAAGAAGAAGAAGAAAAAGAAGAAAGGGGTCCAAGTGTCGGCCAAGGTCGCCTTTGAAGGCAACTTGTCTTCTTGCTGGCGTTTTTGCGGGGGAAGCAAACGAAGCAAGTTCCTTTGAGCGACGAGATCAGAGCTCCGCACAAGACAAAGCAGCATTCAGAGGCTCACCGTGGCCTTTTGCTCGAGGAGGAGGAGGGGGGGGGGGTCACTCTGCTGGCGACTCATTCATCAAATGTTGACGACAGGCGTGCGTGTCCGCCTCAGGGCCTCGTGAGCGTCCCGGAAGCGCAAGCGGAGGCCTCTCGCGGGGCTCCGTTTCGCTGACTTTTGTGGCGGGCGCTCGCCAATGACGTCACAAAGAGTCTCCCCGCAGTCCGCGGTCAATTCTCCGCTCGCCCGCCGAACCCTTCCGCGGACTTCCGGAAGCTTCCGAGTCGCCTTCTGATTGGCCGGGCCTTTTGAAACGGCGGCAAAAGACGACGAGCGACGTGCGGATGACGGTGATGGCCGATCGATCGCCGCACGGGGGCGCTCCCTGCCTGAATCCGCCCCCTTTTTTCAACCGGCCTTCGTGGCTTCTTTTTGTTTTTTTTCACCACTTCACTTGCGGTGGTTCTGTTTTGTTTGTCTCATTTGTTTGCCACGGTCCTTTGTGCTTTCATTTCAAATGCGTCGACGTGTTGCGCTTTTGGTCACGTCAAACACATTTCACATTGCGGCCCGATGTACAAAATGCGCGACGGACATCGCGACGCCGTTTGGTTTGAGCCCCCCGCCCCCCCCGAGCCTGCTCTCGGGAAGCGAGTGATTCACGCCACAGCCGTTGCGTCACGGTGTACCGTGACGTCAACGGGGCGTTCTCGGCGGAGGGATCCGCGTTGGCAATCCGAGGCGTTTACGAGCCCGCTGAAGGTTTCGATGACGCCGGAGAGCAATGAAGCTTCCCCATAGAAACTTGTTATCTTCTTTTACGGCAGGGGGGGGGGGGGGGCGCGCCTGCCCCCCCCCCCCCCCCCCCCCCCCCCCCACCCCCCCAGGCAAAAGCAAACTTGGTCAAGTCCAACTGTTTTTCTGTTGACATTTCTCGATGAAAGCAGCCCACTGACGCGCATTTGACCGCATGGCGGTGTGCGCGCCGTGGAAAAGAGACGTGGCAAAACACATTTGGATGTTTTCCCATTCAAGTCATCGTGTGACGGAGGGGCGGCACGCCGACCGATTGGGAGCTTCAGGGTTCCGATAGCCACTGGGAGCGAACGTCCGATCCCCGGCGTTGACGTAAAGCGTCTTTGCCCTCCCCGTATGTGCCCCGACATTGGCCGGCGACCGGTGCGTCGACGGCGTGCGGTGCGCATGCCGGGCCACTAGGTAGCGGCAAACGCTGAGGATCGAGACCGCCTCGAAAAAAATCGATTCCAGTTTTGGAGGGACGAGTCCAAACACGCGTCGACGTTTGAAACGATGGCGGAAAGTTTCCGACGCGACCCGGGGTCGCACGCGGTAGCTTTAGCCAACGCCGCAAGTTGGCTAAAGCTAAATGCGACCTTTCAACGACTTTTCACGGAAGCCGCCCGAGACCACCACAACTGAGAGGGACCGAGGGGGACCAAGTACTGACGCAGAAATGCTTTTGCCAAACACACGCACCTTGTTGCTTCCGAGTAATAGCGGAAGTCAGCCCCCCCATGTCCCCCCATGTCCCTCAGGGCATGATTTCAAAAAGAGTGCATTGTGGAAAATCCAAAAACAAAAGCCGACAAGATTCAGTTGCTGCTTTGCTTCGTAACAGCCGTCAAACCACGTCGAGGATTGTTTTCCAAAGTCAGAGCAGATGCTTGCCAAAGCCTTCTTTTGACACCCCCCCCAAACCCAAAACCCCCAGTCCACTTCCACAGAGACCAAGAGCAATGATCTGATGGGAAGACCGAGATTCGGACCGTCGGGACAATTTGAAGCCGAGCGAGGTCTCCAAAGGAGGAAGCCGAGAGCAAAATAGTTGGCCATGAATCTGATCGGCCGTCAATTAACCCAAGCGTCGTCGACGTGATGCGAATGGCCGCCCGAAACCGCTGTTCTTACGCTTTAGCTAGCGCTGACACGATAGCACGGTAGCGACACGTCACGGACGGATGCCCGATGGTGTCGGTTGCCGTCCAAAAGGGCAAGCGCGAAAGGCTTTTCTTCTATCTGGGTCGGTCTTATCGGCGCTCGGCGGGGCTAGCTGAACCGGCGCTAGCTGGCGAGAAGAGGCGCTCGCGATTGCGCTGGCACGTATGCCCGGCCAAAGTGTGTCGCGCTCGCTTCGGGGCCTGACCCACTTCTCAGTTCTGCGACGCGGAAGTTGGCCGTCTTCCGCAAACGCTGGCTTTGACGTGAGCTTCCTTGAAAAGAACTCTTTGGCAGACGTTTACGAGAACCCTGCGCCTCCGTCCCCCCGCGGGCGCGGGCCAAAACAAGCCGCGCTGACCCAATTTCTTCGAGGAGCGCAAGAATGTTGTCGCGCGTAAAAGATCTCGCACGTCAGGTTGCTGATTAACCCGAAGGTCAAAGGTGGGACACGTCGGGAGCCCTCGCTCGCCGCGACAACAACTCGGGATGCGACCGTGCGAAGAAAAAGGGGGGCGGAGCGGCCCCCGCGCTCAGTCATCGAAACGCGGGAAGCCGGACGCTGGATGATCATTAGCCAGCCACGGCAATAAAAGCGCACGGCGAAAGGTTCCGCCATAAAGCGGCCCGCTTGTTGGAGAAGCGGCGGCAGAAGCGCCACGCCCAAGTGGTAAAGCGGGACGGCCGTCGCCTCATTGGCCCGCCGAGGGTTGGACGCCCCGGGCCATAAAAGCGCTCGCGGATAAGGAATCGGCATCGGAGGGGACGCGGAAGCGACGCCGGCGGGAGGCGACGAGGACGAGCCGCGGCGAGGACTGAAAAGCGGGGAACGGCCTCTCGGCATGTCGTCTTTCGGACTGGAGCTGGCGGGCGTGTCGGTGGCGCTGCTGGGCTGGGCGCTGAGCGTGGTGAGCTGCGCGCTGCCCATGTGGCGCGTGTCGGCCTTCGTGGGCGCCAACATCGTGACGGCGCAGGTGTACTGGGAGGGCCTGTGGATGAGCTGCGTGTTCCAGAGCACGGGCCAGATGCAGTGCAAGGTCTACGACTCCATGCTGGCGCTCAGCTCGGACCTGCAGGCGGCGCGCGCCCTCACCGTGGTGGCCATCATCGTGGGCGCGCTGGCCCTGCTCGTCTCCCTGGTGGGCGCCAAGTGCACCAACTGCGTGGAGGACGAGGGCGTCAAGGCCCGGGTGACCATCGCGTCCGGCGCCGCCTTCATCGCGGCGGCGCTGGCCCAGCTGGTGCCCGCGTCGTGGTCGGCCAACACCATCGTGGTGGAGTTCTACAGCCCCGTGGTCCTGTCGGGCCAGAAGATGGAGATCGGGGCGGCGCTGTACCTGGGCTGGGCGGCCGCGCTGCTGCTGCTGGTGGGGGGGGCCATCCTGTGCTGCAGCTGCCCCCCCCGCGAGGAGAAGGCCGCCGGCTACCGGCTCGGCCGCGCGGCCTATTCGGCCGCCCCCGCCGGGTCCGTCGCCCGCGGCTCCTACAACAGGAAGGACTACGTGTGAGCGACCGCCGGGACGTTCTGGGCTCGCGACGTCGGGAAGGACCGGGCCGCGACCCACGACGGAACCCGTTAGCCGCGACAGACCCCGTGTGACGTTCCGGACCGGTCCGGCGCCCTCCTCGTATTTATTTGCTTAACCCTGAACCTTTGTGGCCGCCGCGGGCCCCGTTCCTGACTGGCCGTTGCCATGGAGACAAGGACGCCGACTCCGGCCGAGCGAATGGAACCCGAGGGCCGGTAATGTGCGTGATTTCGCCATTTTAATGTCACAATCATTTTTTTGTCGGGAAAAAAAATATTTCTTTTCTGTCGCCGTTTTTGTACGAGGTGCATGCGTCCAAATGGTTTGTGGCCGTTGACTTTTGTTGGAATGACTCGAACCCCCGAACAGATTGACAATCGGACCTCATTTTGGTTGCTTTGCTTCGGGTCCGCCCCCACAATGATGACATGAAATCAATACATGCAAATAACACATTTCAATTCCTTTTTTTTTGGGAAGGGGGGGGGTTGCAAATCATTTTCCTGATTTTATTGCTCATGTCCTTTTGGGAGGACAACCTTTGACCTTTTGCCCTCACGCCCGTGACCATGCGTTGAAAATGTCCCGCCGGCTTGTTTTTGAAGCAGAATAAAGAGCGTTTGTGTTGACCGTGCCCGAATGGACTTCCTTTCGCCTGAGCCCCACACGAGCAAAGCGCTCTTTGAATATTCAAACGGCGCCGGCAGCACCGAGCCAGCGGGCGCAATTGCGAGCCGCCTTCGATCGCCGGATGAGATTTCGGCGCCGTCGGCGCTCGTATCTCGGGCGGCGCGGACGAGCCGACTTTTCGCCGAGCGGACTCCGAGAGCCGGCCGGTGTTTACCTTGGGAGCGGTTATTCCGGTTTGTCCCTGAGCTCGGGATTGTTTTCCCCAAAACACGGATGCTGTTGAGGAAGCGACGAGCCTCTCCTGCCCCTTCAACGTGATTTACCGCACAATGCTCACGCTCTCGGTTTTCTCTTGATTGGCTGCTTCTCTCTTGTTCACATGCGTGGGGGGGGGGGGTCCCCTTTTCAAACGGTGGCAAGGCTGGAAAGCGGCTGGTGAGCCGCTTTCCAGCCTTGCCAAATCGCAAATCGCCGACAGACTCCTGAACAAAGGACATGACGGTCTGTGGCGTGCGATGTTTTGCTGGTGCCGGCGGTGGAACGTTTCCACCGCCGGCACCTCGGCAGCATCGGACGCGTCCGCTGCCCGCATCTTTTCGCGATGGCATGTTCTTTTTGCAGCCGTCGCCGGCCAAACGGAAGACGCCGTCCTCGCTGCTTTGGGCCATCGGCCTCCCTCTTTTTTCCTCACTTCAAATTGCAGACTTTGGCGGCCGCCTCCTGCCGCCATTGTCTTCCGACTGCGCGTGACAGAGGAAGCCCCGGGATGGAGAAAGAGGCGGCGAAGGAGGAGCGGCGGCAGCGCTCTCCTTTCTGTCTTCCGTGTCACTCCGGCAAATGTTTGTTTGCAGTGAGCCATCTGCTCGCCCGGCCCCCGGCGCAGGCACGCACGCAGGTAGCGCCCCTCCCCCACCCGCGCAGGTGCAGGTGCAGGTGCAGGTGCGTTGTTTTGCGTGGGGCGCCGAGGCGGGGCGTGGTCCCGGCTCGCCGGCCGTATAAAGCGCGCCGGTCTCGGCGCCGCCGCCTGACAAGCGCCACCCGTCGTCCGCCTCGGCCACGAAAGGAAGGAGCGTCTCGGCGAGGCGGCGGCCATGTCGATGGGCACGGAGCTGGCGGGCATCTGCCTGGGCGCGCTGGGCTTTCTGCTGGCGGTGGTGGCGTGCGCGCTGCCCATGTGGAAGGTGACGGCGTTCGTGGGCGCCAACATCATCACGGCGCAGACCATCTGGGAGGGCCTGTGGATGAACTGCGTGACGCAGAGCACGGGCCAGATGCAGTGCAAGGTCTACGACTCCATGCTGGCGCTGCCGCAGGACCTGCAGGCGGCGCGCGCCATGATGATCGTGGCCATCATCCTGGGCGCGCTGGGCGCGCTGGTGTCGACGGCGGGCGCCAAGTGCACCAACTGCATCGAGGACCGGGGCGCCAAGGCCCGGGTGATGATCGCGGCGGGCGTCGCGTTCGCCCTGGCCGGCCTGCTGGTCCTGGTGCCGGCCTGCTGGACCGCCCACGTGGTGGTGCGCAACTTCTACAATCCCGTCCTGACCAACCCGCAGCGGCGGGAGCTGGGCGCCTCGCTCTACGCGGGCTGGGCGGCCGCCGCCCTGCTCCTGATCGGCGGCGCCATCTTGTGCGCCAGCTGCCCGCCCAAAGAGCGCCGCTACAAGCCGCCCGGGATGGCCTACTCGGCCCCGCGCGCCAACGACGCCGGATACGAGCGCAAGGACTACGTCTGAAGCGGCCCCGTGGCGGAAGGTCACGGCTTCCTTCTGCCCGTGAAATCGTCCGCCGAGCGCGACCCTCCAGTGGTCCTGAAGAACAACAAAGCGCATTTCAAAAAGCAACTTTCATCTTTATTCTTGGAAATCAAGTAGTCGTCTTGTAGATCAAGTGTCGTGGGGGAGGGGGGGGGGGCTACCTGGAGCGGGCCGATTAGGTCTTTGTGTGTGTTAGTTGGTGTCGCGTTTCACTGAAACTGTCGCTTTCAACCGGCCTGCTCTCATTTTGCATTTGCTTCTTGAGCACAGATTCACTTCTGCGTGTGTGTGTGTGCGTGCGTGTGTGTGTGCGCGTGATCGAGAGAGCCCACAATGCGGCCTCCTCATATAGACTCCGACATGAAGTTGAAATCTTCCTGCTTTGCTCTCATGTTCCTTTTGTCGTTCCCGTGCGTGTGCTGTGTGCTTCGAGGTGTCGCGTTTCAGCGAAACTGTGTGTTTAAAGCAACCGGCTCTCGTTTTCTATTTGCATTTGCTTCTTCCTTGTGCTTGTGCTTGTGCGCGCATCATATTTGCTTGGAGATGGCTGCAAGGCCACCCCTCCTCCGCTCGCAGTGAAAGTGCCGGGCACAAACTTCATTATCGACATTTTGCGTGTCTTATAGAACGCGTTTTTGTCACTCTCGTCTGATACATTTCAATAAAGTCGCTCACGAAAGCTTCTTGTTGGTCTTCTTTGCCCCGATAACGAGTGTGAGCACGATGACAACGGCACACGACGGTCGGTCGCCATGGGGGAACACGCACGCGCGTTCGCCAGCCCGTGACGAGTCGTGAAAAACAAACAAAAAAGCTACTGTTGACTTTTTGGGTTTGGGATCCAACTCTCCCTCAATGACCTGAACGGAGTCTTCAAGGTCAAAACGGGCCCCTTTGAATTTGGCACGTACGATACGCCATGTGGACAACGCGTGCCGTCGTCCCTCGCCAGCTCGCTTTGCAAAAGCGAAGCGGATTGGACGCGACGTCACCGAGCCTCCTCCACATGGTGGGATTTGGCGGCTTCTCGTTTGCTTTCAAACTGGCCTTGTAGCCCACGCGGGCTGGTGAAAGGACACTTGGATTCTCTCCGCGTTCATCGACAACCGCTTCAAACAACAAATCGGAGGAGGGCAAAGACGGTCTCGTTTTTTAGGTTGATTCTAGATCGCCTCGTTTCGGACCGTTTCGTATTGCTGGGGCCAGCTGACCCGTCGGCAGCGCCTCTCCTTTTAACCTCTGCGCCGCCGCAAAACCAATTTGGCGGGAAGGGTGCTTCGTTGCCTACCTGGTTCGCGTGTCCAGGTGCGACGGACGATGGGGCGCATCCCTTCACGGCTGGATCTCTCACAACAGCTGCAGATGTAACGAGGCGGCGGCGGCGCCGCCCAGGACTCTCGGCCCGCGGGTGTCGGCGCATTGCGGGGATGCGTGGGCGCTTGACTTTTGCCTCTTTGTCATGACGTGCGGCTGTGCTTTCGGTTTTTGACACTTGGAGTGGGCCGCCCGCAGCGTGCGAGGCAACGGCGAGATCAACTTCCAATCCAAGTGGATCTCAGAGTCGAGCTGACGTTGGCACCGATAGGAGATGTCGTCCTGGAGAGAAATCGATGAGGAATTCTTCCCAACGCCTCGACTTTCGCCGTTCATCGGGCCGCAACGGAGGTTGTCCGTGCTCGCCGCCGCATCTTCCCATTTCAAAGATTTGCTCGAGCTGAGCTGCCGCGTCAGGAAAACGCTCGCAGGAGCTCAACGTTTGGGGCCGCGTCCCGCAGGCCCGGGAGGCGTTTACCCGCCCGTGCGCCGCGAACTCCCCCGGGCCCGCGCCTCCAGCCGTTTCCGTGGCGACGGCTCGCCCCATCCCGGAGGAACGGCCTCCGAGGTAGGAAAACAAGAGCGGCGCCTCCCGTCGCGCGATGATGACAAAGCGGCGAACGCGGCGTCTCGGCTTCATTGAAGCAGCTTGGTCCCATCGAGGCGAAGAAGCTCAAAGTGCGCCGACTTGCGGACACGAGGTCGACTTCACAAAGCGCCGCGTTTTGGATCACGCCGACGGTCTCTGGGAGCCGCTCCTAATGTCTCTCAGTTCGGATTTCCAAACATCGAAGGACACCGGCGCCTTGAGGTTCAAGTCGGCAGCAGGCGGACTGCCGCGATCCGAGCCGGAAGCGGGTCGAGGGGAAGGGAAAGGGAAGGCCGGGCCGGGCCCGGCCGGGCTAACTCGGGCCGTGGCAGGCGGAAGGGCGAGGGCGA